AGATGCTTTGACTCTTAATGTAAATCGTTTTGTTTTCGGTGACTCTTGATGAATATTTATAATTTCAGCAGGAATTTGATGTGAGCTGTTCTGATTTGTTTGTGGTACCACAGATGAATGAAAAGATTGTTTTTTTTGAATCACTCCATGGATGGAAAAGAGAAGCATTTCCAAAATTTTGTTTGACTCTCCTGATGAAAATATGTTGCAAAACTGATGAAGAAATAAAGTTGTTGTATTTCCGTATATTATTATTATTATTCATTGTGATGTGTGAATGAGCATGATTGATGTTGAATCGTGTGGTAGGTTGGTCAAGCAATGCAATCATAGACGACGATGAACATCCAACTCTTCTACTGCAAATTGAGTAAATTCTTTTCATTCAATCTAATATTCGGAGTGTTGTTTCGGTGATGATGATGACGCTTGTTGATGGTATCTTTTATCTCCGTGGTGTAAGAATGAGAGAGAACATTGAGGATTCTTATTTTTGTACGAACAATTTTTCGAGATCCTGAATAATTATTTATTAGTAAATGACTCGTGTGGCCACAAGCAAAACAAGAAATGCAAAGTCCGTGCACCGTGTGATGAATCGGATCGGATCGGACACTCTTTACAGCTTCAATTCTCCCACTAGTAAATCCTTCATTCGAGAGAAGGCATCTCTTCCGTGTCCAACTTTATTGAATTCTTCAGTGCCATCCTTTCCAGCAACCTAATTGAGATGAACGTACAAGTATCAGCGATCCAACTAATCCAGGTTGATTGTCAGAACATCATCTACTTACCTCAAATAACACATCCTCTCCACCTGGATGCTCATCTTTATATTCGGCTATCGAGTATACTTTACCATCAATACAAATCCAAGGATCTTTATGACCTTCTTTGTGTTCGGCTAATTCCTCGAGGGTTATAATTCGTGTAGTAGTGGTAGCCATTGATGATGGAGTGCAAAATTATTGATGATGAATTACAAGAAGGAGATGTGTTTAGTTGTTTTTGTGTTGACTTGACAGTCCCGAACAATTCATGGAACGGATGAATGAAAGTGATGTTGAGCGAGTCCAGTGGAGAATATTGAGCAGTAATGGGACTTACATTCTCTCGTTTTACCACATTCGTAAATGTCCAACATAAATGGAGAATTTCATTGACAAACGACCAATAAGGGAGAAATAAGAGGAGAATCACGTATAATGGTGTGACTTTACGAGTGGCAGCACTATTATGAAAAATGTTGTAAAAATTCCTGTAGACAAGTTGTAAATTAATTTTAGTAATTCGTTGTTTTTCAAATAGAAGAGAGCATTCATTTTTAGAAAGTCAATTTTCCTTCATACACTTCCAAGCTACCTGATCCATTCTTTACCACACACAAAAAGTTGCCTTCTTTCGTTCGAGTGAGTGCTAAAGGAGATCTGCATTCAGTTTCAGCTGAGAGTGGAATATGACCTCTCTGTTTCACAAGGGTCCACTCGGATCTCAAAATATCAAAGAGATAGCAATCGGTAAAGTATCGCAATGGTGTGGTGGTGATGCTTAATGGTTTGCTTTGAGAATCTTCCATCATCATCATGCTTAATCCTTCATCATCAAGAATTGTTTCGTTCGCAGAGTGTCCACCCATCATTAAGAAGCAATTATTCTCAGGGATTTCAACCATGGCGTGGAACATTCGTGGATGAGGCTTTTCTGAACTCTTAATTTTGAGACGAGTGAATTGAGAGGTTCTAAAGTTGTAGCTATAGACAGAATCATCGGAATAGGGGTTCACTTGGTCGGGATGTCCACTAGCATAGGGTTTTCTGAGTCTTCCTCCGTACAAGTAGGCAACACCATTCACATTAACCACAGAGTGTCCAAATCGATTCAGAGGTCCAATATCACGAATATCTGTTGAGAGTTGTCGGTGATCATGGATGGATCCCTTTCTCTCTTTTACGAATAATTTAATAGAGTCCAATAAATTACTTCTTCTTTCCTTTTGTTTGGTATCCACATCTTCAATAGGGAGAGGAATATGGATAGGGTGTGTGGTGCCTCCTCCTTCTCCACCTCCGAGATAGTCTGTACTACAACTACTTCTCGATGCTGTACTCACTGAGGATTGTTTTGGAATGCTAAAGCTTGGTAATTTTGGTTGCTCAAATTTCTTCTTTTTCATATCAAAGACATACACAAAGGTAGTCTTTTTCGATGTATCAGTTACTGATGAGGAGAGAGGATCGTTGATGTTGTTGTTGTTGTTATTAGAATTTGAATCTTGTGTAAGGTCATTCCATTTCAAATAATTGCCTCCAAAGATAAATAAATCTTTCGATACAGCCAATACGGTATGATTGGCATGAGCACTTGGCCAAAAGTTTGAATTAAGAAATGATGATTTCTTTGAAATTCCATTTCCATTGGTATTGGAAGATGTATTCTCTTCACCTGCCGCAAATAACTTGAATTCATGACTACTGAATTTATATTGAAAGAAGATGTTGGAAGGATGAGGACATGCGGAAACATCATTCTTTGAAGATTTGAATAATTTCTTCATTCGACTTGTTAAGGTTCTATTTTGATTCACTAACATATGTTTTTGTGTATGATGGATCAGAGAATGATAATTTGTTTCAATAGCAATTATAATGAATAATTTGTTTCAAATAATATATTATATTGATATTATTACAAATATATTACATATTGAAAATATACAAGATCGTATGAGTCTTATTTGAAACAAAAATATCATCATTCTACATACCTGCTTCATTAGAATAACGCTGTTGAGACTGAAACAAGGAAGATTTATCAGTCGTTTCTTGATTCTCATGAAAATAACCTCCAAAAAGATGAGTTTTTCCTTATTACTACTCTTTTGAGCAATACAGCACTCGAGCCAAAACCATTCGATTCTAATTTTGTGTGATATTTAATGATCCATTGAGTGCCAGTTCTATTATCTGTAGAAGTGAAGATACATTTAATCGAAATGATGATTTTCAGTCGTATACTAAAATGCTTACCTGTTGCTTGTGTTAATTCTTCAACAAGTTCCAATACTGAGACACCTCTCTTTGAACCATGCACCAATGCATAACGAGATTTCTGTGTCACAGCATCAACAATTGAAAAGGGAATTATTTGAAGAGAGGTATGATAAGATGATTCGTCATCCAAGGCACTGTATTAATGTTTGTGCAGGGCATTTTGGAGGCAATTCATTTGGAGAGTGCAGTGACGAATCCATCATGATGGAATGGTCATGAATTCATTGTGCGTGATTTCGTGCAATGAAAGGAAGGCACCACAACGGCATTGAGTCATCAATGAATCATGATCCAATGAGTTGAAATGGTTGTGATTATTCATTCGGCCGTTGAATTAATGATATCATTCATCACAAAGACGTGTTACAAAATATATTTAAATTCACAATCAAATTCACAATCACACACATAGGAAGGTGAACACCACCACTATCACAACACGATCATCATCACCAATTATACTTACTTCATTTCAAAATCAGGATGTTCCAACACATGAACACATCTCCAATGAATACTGGCATTACTCTTCTTTGTGTGATTTAAAGGTTCCACAAATTGTGAGATCACACTAATGCCACCATTCACACCGATTGTTCCTGTTGAATGAGCACTATTTGAAGATCCACGGGGTGAAAGCATGACATCATCAGAATTAGTATCAGACGAGCTCACCCGAGAATGACCCCAGTTGTTGTTGTTGTTGTTTGGTTCTGAATTATTCTTTTTGAGAGAGAGATTGAGTTTGGGAATTTCAGTCATGATGAAGATGATCGGATTATAGTTTGATTCAATACGCTTTGTGTGTGTGAAGTGATCAATATTGATCGACACAAACTGTGTAACGGTTTTTTTTTATGATCAAAATGCTGGATGACAGGTTGACATTACTGAAAGGATGATGCCATTTTGAGAGGTGGTGGATTGCTTTTCTGCATGTTCATGATTCTTCAATTCATTCAATACATCCATTCTTCCGACAACCCAATTCAACCAATCAATAACTCTTACTGACCAAAGTTAATCAATTTCGAAAAAATGTCTAAAATACTTCGCAAGCACTTGCTTTCTTCGTTTGCACTTCTTTCAAAAGAAACATCATTGCTCCGAAGCAAGTTATCTTCCCACAAAGTTTGTAACAATTATCATGCTTTGTCGAATCAATTCAGATACTTCTCCCAAAGGAACAAATCGCTGTTGAAGGACTCATTTTCTTCTAATAATAATAATAACGGAAAAAAAGGCTTTGGTTCAGTAACCATGAACGATTTCAGACTTGTCATGATTTGTGTTGCATTGGTGAGCATTGCTGTTGGCGCATATTACAGCAATAAAAGTACAGAACGTAAAATTGAATACAAAGAGAAGGTGCGAGAAGAAAGAAAACAATCGATCGAAAACATGAAAGGAAGCACCAAAGAATTTTTTGGAAGATTTAGAAGGCAGAAAACAGAGGAAGAACCTTCTGTTGTGAACAGTGAAGAAAAGAAAGATTAGAATGAGTTTCGAATTGTATTGATTGCTATTAAAAAGGGTGAAAAGAATTTATTCCAACCGTTGCAAGTTCCAGGTCAATAAAAATGACAACCACTCATCCCGAAGAAGTTTTTGAGTAGTAAGTGCATTGCTGGATTGCCGATGACAACAACATCATCACATGATATTGCAGTAACTGCTCGATAGGCTTTGGAAGCGACGAAGAGTCTGCAAATATTGTTTACCAGACAATTATTGTGGATCATGAATTATCAACAAAAGTCAAACGAAATATAAATTTACATTCATCATCGGAAGACGGAAGCCATCATTTAATCATGTACGTTTCAAATATTGAATGGAATGGATTTTCTAATAACAAGAAATAATTATCTTTTTATCATAAAAGTAATTTCACTTCATCAGACGCCAGACAATTAAGATCCTCCGTGAAGGGAACATTAGATACCATTCATCTATCCATTGAAACTCTTACTAAATTTGTTGAACAGTAAATTGTTCGGTCATTGATATTATTTCCAAACATGTGTCCACTCTATTGTTCTGCTATTTTGCCTTTGATAACTGAATTAGGTTTGGATGCCGAAACAATATTCACATGTTCTCCAGCAAAATAAAACACTTTGGATCTAACTAAATTTTCAGCCTCAATTTCTTTTTTCATTGCATTGAATTTTCTTCTGCATTCTAAGTATGATTCTTTAAATTCTGCACACATAATATCAGCTTTACTATGTTGATATTCATTCTCACATTTTGTAAATAATTGTAATAAATCTTGACATGGTTTTTCTGGGATATATTCTCTATTAGATACCATAACAGGTTGAGAGTTAAAATACATTTGCTGCATTATTATATTATTTTGATATTGCTCAATCGGAGAGAATTTATTATCGGAAGAGGAATTGTCTTGATGGGCATTTGTGTTTTTTTGATTCGCTCATTTTTTTCTGTGCAGGATTGCTGATATTAATCCGACAAAGAATAGGAGAAACATGAAATAATTATGAGGTGAAACAAAAGGAATTATTGAAATAGATGATACTTTTTGATGACTTAGAGACTTTTTTCACTTAGTTGAAGGCAAGCAAAATTTGTCGGGTTCTCCTAACAGAAAATTGGAATCGTTTTTGAAAAAAAACTTTTCAAAAATGAAGGAAAATGAGTCTTAAGGAAAGGTAGAATATGCAAAATATGGAACAGTTAGAATGTTTTAGTTGGTCATTAATATTTTTCACTCTCATCATCTCCAGCTGGAAATTAAGTGAGGCGACGTTCATCTCCAGAAATGAAGCTCTTCGAAATTGAAGTTTCTCTGTGCACAGTCAAAAAAATGATTCCATCTTCAACCTCCCAACGTCACACTTCCCAACACAAGCACAACAACGATCATCATCATGTACATACCACTCAAGAATCCCTCTCCGAGCTTTCTTTAGATGATACAGGTGAGGACTATTTAGATTCACTTTCCGCTGTTTCTTCGGACTATGGCAGTCTTGCATCATTAAGTCAATCATCAGCATCGGAACATCATGCCTTGTTGATGAGCAGTACTCGTAATGTTGTTGCACATAACTTCAATGAATTACCCAATGAAATTCTTGTACATATATTAATTTTTTTAAACGGAGCACAAATTTTAAAGTTAGAAATCTTGTCCAAAAAATTCTATCAACTCATTCATCATGAAGATGAATCCGAACGTCAATACAATAAGAAAATAAGAAGAAAAAGAATTCCTACCAAAGAGAAGAGAAAGGAGCAAAGAAGATTATCCATTAATTTAGCAACAATGATTGCATCTTCAGGTCTAGATTTGCATTCCATTACTTCTGGTTATGAATTTTGGATCTTTTTGAATGAGGTTCATTTCAAAGAGGAAACTCAAAGAAGAAGAAAAGAATATCCATCAGCTATTCAACCTAGAATATTTTACATGTATCATTTGAAAGTGGCTTGGCTTAATGAAAAGTATGGTATTGAAAAGGCATTGAGGTCTCTTGAAGATGCTTTGACTTCACACCCATACTTTAATGAAGTGTGTATTTTTTCTCCACACTTGTTGAGATTGTACTACTTGTTGTACTTGATTGATAGAGATTATGCAACTATGGATTTGAGGTAAGTGTGTGAATGATGGTGATTCTTGATGTCACCTCATATTTCTTTTTTATCAATAGATATCACCCTTTTGAAGAACTCAAACTTGATGTGGAAAAACATGTGACACCCATTGCCAAACATGTGATGGAAAAGGACATCATGCGAGTTGGACAAGGCTCAATGAAAATGATTGCCATTGTAAAATTATCACCAAAAGATGTATTGAGAAATGTACAACCAGGTCAACAGGAATCACTCACACAAGAACAAATGGCTCAACAAATCTTGTTGGAAGCATATTCTGATAAAGATTTTAGAGATGACAGAGATGTGAGCATGGTCAAGTTTATTCATGAAATGAATCCATCATCACATGCAAATTATAGATATCAATTAGATGAAGAAGATGTTGGTGATAAAGCTGGAAAGATTACTAATACGCTAAATGCCATCTATAGAAGTTGGTATGCCAAGTGGAGAGATGTAATTAACAAGAATCGTGACTATCAATCTTTCAAGAGTTATGATTTTAGAGAGTTGGAGACAATTAAGATCAATTCTGGATTCACCTACGACAATGGACTCAGATGTGCAAATAGCTGGATCAAACGAGATTATGTTTATACAAAATTATTGCAGAGACAATTACATTAATGATGTATTATTTTCAATAATTAAGCCCTTCCTCATCAAACACAGAATTAAAAGATTCAAATTGTTAAAGTGTTGTCAATTGTTCAACATCATTGGTGTGTTTAAAGGAATAGGTTTTTCCTCCCACATCTTGTTTCACAATTTTGGAGATATATTCTCCAATGACTTGATTGGAAAAGCTGGATCCAGTCACTTCAGAAGGCTTTTTAATGTAAGCAGCAATTCTAAGTTCATTCAACTTGACACTCAATTTCTTTTCCTCAACTTCCTTATGGAGAGCTTTAATTAATCCAAACAATCCACTCACAGCAGAGGTGAGTAATCCCATCTTTCCAAACATGACTCTCTCTCCGGCAGCACCTTCAATACAGGATTCATGAATCAAAGCAACCATTGAATCACGTGAATCATGGTGTTACAAAATTTGCTCTTACAATAATACCTACCTGTAATGATGGTATAAGTTTTCAAATTTGGTAATGTTAAAAATTGTTGCGCGATCACAAAGTGGCTCAACAATGAATTTTTCAAAAGATCCAAATAATCCGAGACAGAGGTTTCAGTGGGATAGCTCTTTTGCCACCAACTTCCAAGAGAGGATACCACATGATCCACATGGCCATACTTTTCAAGAATTTCTTGTTTCAAATGGATTGCTGCTTGCTCTTGATCATCAATGGTTTGATGAATGGCGATCAAATTCTGTTGCAATTCATGGACAGCTTGCTTTTTCAATTCTTCTAAAGCTTCAGATCTTCGTGATGGAACAATCACGAGTTTTCCTTCTTTAAGGAATTTCAAAGCAATGCCTGATCCAACCACACCTGCTCCGCCAGCAACAAGGACAACTTCTTTAGATGAAGACATTTCAAATGAATGAATGGCTCAACTCGAGGAGGAGTGCAATCAATGAAATATTTTTTTTAGTGTTGTTGTTGTTAACTTTCAGAAACACCAATCTCTGATTTTGAACATTTACTTTATACATGCGCAAATTAAAGCGTGCGTTTGAGGGATCGCTCTTTCTTTTAAAAAGAAATATTTGAAACTGAGCTTTTTTTACAAAAACATTCAACAAAATCAAAACTTTTAATTGTTGCATTTAGGCTTTTCGTAAGAAATCTCATCAAGCATTTGGTTAAGCTCTCAATTAGGTCAAGTTCACATTCCTTCTATTCTGGACTCCCGCGCACTTTTTCGTTCAAAAAAAATGTCAACCAAGAGGAAAATCATTGACGATCCATCACTCCAAGATAATCACCACACAAAACTCACCAAGTATTTTCATCATCATGACCAAGAGAAGCGCATTTTCCCCTGTGAGATTCTCCTAGAAATAATGAAATATTTGCCAATCACAGATCTTTGCTCGGACTCATTGGTTTGCAAACAATGGAATGATGTTGCCCACAACAATCATTTATGGAAATCACTCTATGAGAAGCAATACAAGGATCATCCCTTCTCTTCAAAGGATCCATTATTTGGAGGTGATTTGATTGAAAATTTAGCAACATTTAAATTTTCAAAGTGTCTCTTCAAGGCCATGTTTGCTCTCAAGAAGAGCTTTTACCAATTACAAGTCATTTCAAAACAAAATATTTATCCAGACATGGTAGAATTGTTTGAAGGCGATCAAGATGAAGGATTTACATTCAAGGAAGGAGAAGAAAATTTTGAACCTACACTCGAGATGAAACAAATGATTAAAAGTTGGACACCTTCTTCTAGTGACGATGAAATTAGTGGAAACAAATATGGTTACTTTATATGTGAAGAATGTGCAGAGAATGAAAATTTGATCAAAGTGGTGTTCAAAAATCCACTTACTGAACAAGGTAAGAATGACAATGTGCATTCAACAGGTTGAATAATTGTATTTGAATGTACATTGTTGGTCCATGCTGTTCATTTTCATGCTTGAACACTTCAAACACGTTATATGATTCATCTATATGTCCTATTTTCCCTTCATAATAGTATTCGTATTCTTTGAAATTTCCAATAGCAATCCTTATGGAAGTATTCACTTGGAACATGAAGAAGAGTGTTTTGCTCTTAACTTTGAAGGATGTTTGCATATGGAAAATGAGAGTATGAATGAATGTGAATTGCCCAATTTCGATTTTATGATTGCTCTTCAGCGATTTATTAATGATGTCCAAGAATGTCCAGAACATTTGTTGTACTATGCAAGACAAACGTTTGAGGTTGAAAATATTCTTGGACCAAAGAAAGGAACTATTTATTGACCTATTTCTATACTGGACGTATTCTCACACTACTATTATTATAACCTAATTGTACTTGGTATATCCATCGTTCACTCAAGGAACAACGACAATCTACAACCCTTTGAAATTATATATAAGGACTCACCACCTTTTTTGTGCTTAACTTTTATCTTATTGGGCTAGAGCAAAACAATGATTCTTAAATAATTTGGTCAATACGCAACGCGTTTCCAACACCATTGTGGTCATCTGCGTAGTTCTCCTTTCGACTGAGATGGTTGACTTTTTCATATATATTATTAAATACCCTCTTCCAACTCAAAATGAAGATGTGTATCGGCGCAATTCCCATTTCACACATTTGATTTGGAATTGATTTATCCAAATCGAACTACCATTTCATGAGAATCTCCCAAAGATCCTCACTCTAGTTTGCAACCCCATTTTTGTTATCCTCACTTTAAAGCCACAAGAATTTAAAGAATTGAAAGAAGAACAAAAAAATTCATCCTGCGAGTTAATGTATTTACGATTGATTGATCAGAGGAACCACAACATGACATCTCTCAATTTTAAACAGGAAATACCTGCAACAACAACAACTCCTTCGCGAACCGCTACCAACAAGACAACCTTTAACAGGATACAACTTGGTCTTGTATACAATGATAACGCGAATTCATCATCTCTTGCACCTGATCAATGTTTAAAAAAGTCAGTTCATGGTCATCCACATACATTGAATTTCGCAACAGAGCACTTGTCATCGCAAGTGGGCAACACCCCTCAAGAGATCCCTTTGAATCTTAAACTAGAGTTTAATGAAAGTGAGATGGAAATGCTTGATCTTTATTTCCAACAAAAGATCTTGTATGATATAAAGTTTCAGTCCAATAAGACCAACTCGACGAACACTACTTCTGTTGCAACGATCAAAGAAGCTTCCTCTCGAATCGCAGCTGACTTGCGAGATCAAACCCATGAGAATCCCCACCACCACCCACAACAAGTCACCACACCTGTCCAAGCGCTCGATCTCTATCCCCCTCTCTCTCAAAGCTATTTTTCATTAAGGAGAGATTCATTGTTGTCAAGCTCTTCATCCTCCTCTACCACATCCACTCCCTCTCTTGATGCCTCTCCCATACATCCTCTTCCTGACGAATCGTGCATGAAAAGGTCGAGTTCCAAAATCACGAAAAAGAGGGTTCGTTCAAAAAGTAATTACAGTCATAAACCAAGGAAAGGATTCACCAAAGTAGATCACACTACGTGGCAATTTCATTCCTACGAGAAGGGAAAAATTGTTTCCAGTGATCTCGTCTTTCTTTCATTCACTCCCACTTCCAATACAATCAGTTTCAAATAAATTCAAAAAATACAATTCAAAAAAATAAGCGCCAAACGAAAATGAGAAGCTCGGTTTCAATGCAGCACACCAGCGACGAGGAACTACTTTGTGCTTCGTTGATGAGGAATAGCAGAGAAATTAAGGCCTTCTTCAACAGTAAGTTGATGTATTTAGTCAGGGATGCTCAAGTAGGTGGTTACAGCTTTTTCGGAACGAAATTGGATGAAGCTTTTACAGTACCTTGCCCTAATCGGAATAAGAAGCGTCCAACAAAAACTGGGAGCCTATTCCTCTTTGGAAGGAATTAAAGAGCTCATGGGTATGTAACGATCATTGTGTTTCACTATTGATCCAACATTATTTTAGATAACCTTGCACCAGGCACCACCCAACATCCAAACCCCTCTCTAATCCATCATAATAATAGTCAAGAGCAGCTATTTACTCCTCCTCCCAACCAGCAACATTTATCCACCCCTGAAAAAAAAAGTACCTCTCATGAAGATATGACCAACGAAGAAGATTCGAGATATAAACCATCATCAAGTTGGAGAAAAGGGGATAGGCATGGTATTCAATTATCTTCAGGAAATGAAGATCAGTTTGATCCTTACTTGCCTGATAAGCATAACAACATTCAAGCCTCACCAATGAAAAAATCCAACAACAATTATTTAAATCATCCAGCTCAACATGCAAACTATTTACCAACCCCATCCTCACCTTTTTTCGATGAGACTCGATTTAATGTTCCCAGTAGGCTGAATGGAAATGTACATCAAAACTTTTTCAATACTCCCATTCCTCACGTGCATGATTACTTTAGCCCTTACCAAAATTCAAATCCATATCAATCTTATCCACTTATACCTCCAACCACCTATATTCACTACCCTTCATATCCGTCACATCCCCTTAATACTCCTACAATTGTGCATCACGTAGCTCCGCAACAACCACAACGCATTGAATTCCAAAATCATCAAACAAACCACCAAACAAATCAACAAACAAATCAACAGCAGGTTGAACATGCGCATTTACCTGAGCAAAAGCCTAGTAAGAGAGCAGATCTAATAGTGATACAAAAGGAGGAAATCTCTCCTGCTGAAACGGAGGACTCAGAAGGGCCTCCAAAAGCTGTAGCTTGGTCTGCAGGCTTGGGAGGAAATGTTAAGAAAAAGAAATCAGAAACTCCAAAGAAAGAAATCAAAAAACCTCCAGTTAAAAAGCTGCATCGTCATGCTTCCGTTCCTCCAAAATTTGGGTGAGTATTTTGAAGATTCTCTGATTGTTGACATCTTTCATGACTTTAACAGGGTACCTTATGACATTAATAAGGTGGAATCAAAAATCAAAGGTCAAATAATGATGGACAAAAAAACAAATCAACATGCAATGCATGAACCAGTGCTTGTGACATCCAAAAAAAGAAATGATTGAAAAATTGCCAACGGAAGGACACTCTTCAGACCCTATCAGACAGGAAATTGCAGAAAATGAACCGAAACAAAACGTACAAGCCACCTCGAACAAACCCCGCTCTCTCAACCTCAACAAGTCCAACCAACTGCCCAAGCATCTCACAGTTTAAAACAGCAAGACGTAAGCAAACAACCAACAAGAAAGGTACCTTCAAAGCGACTTGAAGAAATTCTTTATCAGAGAAAGAAAGTTGATTCTCCTAGAACAGAGAAAGGTGAGTGTATCATTTTGCGTTGATTTTCAATTTTCAACATACTTTAAATAGAATCTGTATTGTCGATAGTAGAAAAATTCATGAATGATCCTTATTTGAAAGACTTCTATTAACGAACTAGTGCTTGGATGCGCTTGTAGTCATCAAAATAAACTCTCTTTCAATACCATCGTTGCCTTTTTTTGGAAGTGGTAACATTTCTGGAAAACTCTTCGTCCACAAAATGAGCCTCTTTCAACCATTGACTAATTTCATTTGAAGAGAAGCCGCCCTTATATGGAACCTCATGTGTCATGTGTTTACAATGAAATTTATCACTATGTTCTTGATCCTTGTCGAGGTCAGTAAAGATCAAAACACCACCTGGAGCAAGGTAACTTGCTAAAAGTTTCATCTTTTCTGGAACGTTTTCCAAGTGATGAAACACCATACCTGAAATAATCACATTACATTTACCCTTATTTTCCACAATGGGATGGTTCACAGTTTCAGCTAAAGCCAAGTCAATGACATGCGAAATTATTTTGTCATCACCTTCCAGCAAACCTTCTTGAATAAGTTTTGACTTCTTTTCCTTTAATTGCGAAATCATTCCTTCACTCACATCCACCGCGTCAATTCTTTTGATGTATTCTTTGAATTCATTCAAAAACAAAAGAGAGAGTGTACCAGTGCCACAACCAAAATCCATAATCAACAAGTCCTGTTTTTGATTCATCTTCTCCAAGACTCCTCGAAAAACATCACGAATGCCATGTGCTACTCGTCGTGAAAATTCAGCCTTTGATGGATTGGTGTCCCAATTCAAAGCCATCTGATCGAATGTTTTTGAATTCAATTCAGCAACAGATAGATCGTTTCCGTGATGATGATGATTATGGTGAGAATGGGGACATTGGGAGTGCTCTTCGGATGTAAGATTGTGTGTACAATGAGAGGACATTTTTATGATGATGATTGTTTTTCAGAGTCGAGGATTATGTGAACAGTGTCCTCCCAACCTTGAAGAAGATCAGGAATTATTATGGAATCACTCGGATAAACATGTTCTTATTGATGAAGTGAGACTCTTGCATTGAACATCTCCACCAAGTAATTCATTGAAAAAATGTCGGCAGTGATTGACTATCGAGGACAAGCCCTAGCTGAAACCATCTATCGGTACACTCTTTTTACATCGGCTGTAATGTATCTTGTTGAGTAGCAAATTTGAAATAGTCATCTCTGTTCCGATTAAACGAACTAATTTTGAAATATCAATTTATTCAACTAATATGTTATGTTAATATTAATTAATTGGAATGAATAATGAAATATTAATTGGATCATTCAGATTGTTGGATTTATTGTTGGATTTTACTTCCAGAAATTTTCATTCGGTTTTTATATTTTTGCTATCGGAACGTTACTGGCTTTGATTCTTACGGTTCCTTCATGGCCTTTCTATCGAAAACATCCAGTGGTGTGGCGAACTGACGTGCCAAATGATTTATCAGAAGAGGAAGAACAAGGCAAGAAAGTTAAAGCTATTTAATACAGCACCTATTTAATGAGAGTTATTGTTTAAATGTTTTAATTATTTGAAATTTCAACAGTCTCACCATTTGACACGATGATCGAAATATCATTAAACTTATCAAAGTGATATATGAGATTTTGTTGCATTTCATGAGATCTCCTTTTCCAATTTTTGAATATTTGAATTCGTAAAGTTCCAATTTCACAAACGATTAATTCTTGTAATTGATAACTGATACAAATTCCAAGAGGTTTCATATACATGGAGTCATCATCTCGACTCTTAAAAGTCTTCAAACAATGTCCAAAACGGTCAAAAATTTGAATACGATTATTTCCAGTATCTGAAACTACGAATTGTGCTTGTTTCTTGTCGTACACCACTCCCTTTGGAGAGGACAAGCAACCCTTAGAATCTCCAAAACTTCCAAATTTAAACAACATGGAACCAGTCAGCTTGGAAATTCCTTGAATACGATGATTGTATGTGTCACATACAATCAAGTTGTCATTTTCATCGAGTGCCAAATCATCAATGTGGAAATGAGAACTCACAATCCCCTTTTCCAGATTTACCTAAATATCTAAGAATTTTCCCATCCATGTTTGATAATACACAAATTCTATTTCTATCACAAACATAAATTTCATCTTTCCCGATACATAATCCATTAGGTTTGGTTAATTCTGTGGACCATATTGTAGTACCTTTCTTATTGACTTTTTAAACTTGGCTTTCCAATTGGTAAAATTCTTTGTTTTACATTTTTTGTTAGTAAATCTAATGTATAGATATATCCTTCGGAAACATCTGAAAAATATAATTCATTGTCTTTTTCATTAATTCGCACTTGCCAAGGCTCAAATAACATCATGGATTTCTTTTCATCATCAGCTATAGAAATTTGATTTAAAACTCTCCTTGTTGCCTGAACAAGATCATCCGATGGAAATAAAGCATCAATGACTTGCGATGTTGCAATGTACTCATCAATAATGGGTGGCATGAACATTTTTTAAATCAATTCCAGTTTGAAGAAGGCTTAGAATTTCTAGAAGTGGTTTTCATTGAACAATCACCTCATTTTCAGGGTTTACTTTGTGAGCTGAATAACGAGCACAACATGCACATGAGATCATTTACAGACCTGACAGCATTGGTGATTTTGATCAAAAGAATAACTCAGGTTCATTTGAATCTCCACAATGTGTGTGTTCTTGAGACATATGTGTGTTATGTGGGGTGTGCCAGCGAATGCAATCAGACTTTTACCGTGTGTTTCATACTGTCGGAATGAAAAAAAAATGTCCGAACCACACCAACACGCGCTGAATCCCTCTTCAATGAGGCCAATGGTTCATTCTCCGTCTTCTCACAACAAGCATACTTATGAAAGAAAAAAAAACTCCGAAGAAGGCTTTATGGGAGCATTACGTTCTTGTAGTCATTTTCTCATTCATTCACTCTATTTATTGTTATACACGTGTTATTTTATATATCATCATGTGTGGGAGAGATTGTTAAGCCAAATGTTTGTGATGCTGCTCGGAATTAATCCTTCTTCCTCTCCAACCTCACGATATACATTTTCTCCAGACAAATTGAATGAAGATATGATTAGTAAATTTCCAAATCATTTAGCAATTGCAATTGATACAGAAATGCTTTCTCCACATGTTCTCCATCATGATGACCTTTCTCAAAAACGAGTTACATGTTTAGATGAAATCGCCATGAAGCAAATTCAAAACATGATTTATTGGTCACTGACAACTTTTTCAAAGCTGAAAAATCACTCCATTCAGAGTATTGCATTCTATGATAAATATGGAATATTGGAAAAGCATGCAACACAAATATTCACCTTTATTGAAAGAGTTCTGAAAAATCATGAAGTGAAATTTACCGCCAAAAATATTCAATTATTAGAAACCAAACAAAATATTGAACATGAAATTCCATGTTTAAAAATTTCAACCAAGAATATTGTCCATAATCACACTCAAACCTTAGTTGTTCGATTACTGAGTTTTCAAAACTGTGGAAAACCAAGTATTACGAAATTAGCCAATTCCATTTTTGAAGAGTTGAAGCACAAACAAGACATGGAAAATTTAAAAGAACTAGTAAGGCATCATGTGAGTGAGAAATTGCATCGTCACACCAAAGAAAATATTCCTGAACCAAACATGTTAATTTCATTTAGCACTCCTGTTTTACTTCTTCATGGTTTCTCTCCTCTGCATTTGAAATACACCCAAATTAGGTAAGTAACTAGTTTTTCACACTTTCAATTTCATCACCTTTGTATAGTCATGTTGAAAAGTGTTTTGTCACACAATTCACTGAACAAGACTTTGTAAAATGTGTATTAGAATATGTCTCTTGTAATCAAAGATTTGGAAAATAATTTATTCCTCAATTTGTATATTTTTGACTTTTTCAGAATGAACTGGATGTGGCTGATAGCTTTCACTCTTTGGAATGATTAATCTCAATTGACCATCCTTAATACTTGCTTTGATTTCATCAATTTTAACATTATCAGGAATATCGAACTGTCTAGAAAACCCAACATTGAAACGTTCATGTAGAATATACTGTGAATCCTTTTCTTCCTTACTTTCTTTGTCTCCTTGAAGAATGAGAGTTTGTGTTTCTTCATCAATGGTACAGTGAATATTTTCCTTCTTGAAACCAGGAACGTCTATTGTATATTATAATATACACAATATGTGTGTGTATGATGGTCATGGATATTGTCATACATGGAGTCATATCGATATAGTACAGTGCACCATATTGGCAAGTTCGTGATTATCGTATGTTTAAAAAGCAAAAATTCAAATCATATTTTTCACAGTGTTTGGAACCAATCTTCTTGAATGCATCAATTTTCCTCTCTGAAACGACGCTTACCTGCAATGAGTTCGAATTGTGTTGGACTTTCCTTCACATCCACGAGTGGAGAATTGAATGTAGAGAAGGGTGAATGGACTAAGGGTTGAACAATGTCATTGTCTGTAAAGGAAGATAGAAAGTTATAGAGTGGATTTCTAGATCGGATGGGTCTGAATGTGTGATGCTGATGTGGTGAGGATCCAAACAAGCGTTTTACGAGGGACATGTCCAGGTTTTTTTGAATTAGACGAGTTTATCGGATTGCATTGAGTCAAATTAGGTAAATCCATTCAAAGAGGAAACTCTCCATAACAAGCAACGATCGTTTGAAAGAAAGACAGTTGCTCGACGAGTCAAAATTCTTGGTGAATGATGATGACGTGTAGTCTGACTCGTGTTGTTATATATAGTACGATCGATATATATCTATCGAACCTCTTTATTCTCTCTCTTGAATTTCATTTCGAACACATCAAGTAAACTCCAAATTACAAATGAGGATTGGAGTTTATGAGTATAAACTTTTGTGATGATTTTCATTGGTTAGTTTCTCATAAATGATGATTTTCATTGGTACCATCAAATGCAACAGCATGAATTCCAGTTCCCAAATGATGATGCTCAACAATATTCACTGCTGCACGAATCAATTGAACAAACTCTTCAGGATCAATTTTGGTCCAATGCATGTGAGCATCCACCACATTTTCTGATTTATCATTTTGCATGGCCAAATACTGAATACCTCTCCATTTCGCCAAATTTCTAAAGAATGAGCTATGAAAACCTGATGGGAATAATTCGACAAGGACAGCTTCTTCTGGAAGCCACATGGTGTGAGTGAGTCCAGCACCATGTCCACCAATTAATATATCAGTCTCTTGATGAATGATTCTAATTTGTGCTTGAATGGATCCAACTTGACCAAAGTCAATAAACTTGATCTCTACATTGTGTTTGTGTTTCAGAATGGGATCATTTTCAAGTGCTTGTTTCAATTCATCTTCATTCATAATTCTTCTATAAATGGTAGCAGCTGTTTCTTTTACTTTTCTGGTACTGAATACAATTTTAATGGGATCTTGATGGGGATGACCTCTCCTACGAACGAGATGATGTCCTTGTAGTACTTTTCGAGTGATATAGGTGGAGAAGGCTTTGAGAATGTCCGATTCACGGCATGGATTGGGTCTCCTTTTTGAATGATTTATGAGATTGGTTGTGAACAACACATTAATGATCGAAGAATTGAAAGTGTCATTGGTGAAGAACATGACAGTGAGGGTGGTGATTCAATTGTTGTTGAATAATTCGTTTTAAATGAATATTGAAAATGAATTCAATAATGAGAACTTACCATGCATCTTTCATCAAAAAACATGATCCTCCAGGAGTCACCATGAGCACCTCTTCAAAACAAACAAGACTATCCATTTTCAGATGTGGATACTCTTCTTGCAAATATTTCTTATATTCAGAATGAGTGAACACTTGATCTCCCAATTTCTCTAAAATTTCATAATAATATCCTTTCTGATAATGATCCAAGAGAACAATGTGACTATTCTTGACAAAATGATCAAAAACTCAACATTTTCATTCGTCGAATCATTGGGAATTCGACCCTCTTGGACATTCTTTCCTAAAATCATTAAATAATTAATGAAAATATTCACAAAATCAGTCATGGAATGAAATAAATTAAATTCACCATCTCTCTGAACAAGAACAAGTCTCTTTGAAATGATTTGATCACATTTTTGAATCTTGTTCGAATTAGTACTTCCTCTAAATGCTCGCATCCAATGATTCAAATGTAATTGAAATAATCGTTGATCATGATCGACCCATAGAGAAGTATCTTTTTCACAATTGGCATACCATCCATTTGAGAATCCATTTCCAGAGAATGAATTTAATGGAACAATCATGTTCAATATTCGAATAAAGTTATCTTGTGCCACATGTCTTGTTTGTTGAATGCGATACATCAAGACTTTGGATGGAGCAATTGATGATGAAGTTGTAGTAAAAGTTGTAGAAGGTTTTTTAAAGTAGTTGTAGTAGTAGTTTCAGTAGTAGTTGTGGTAGTAATAGATGAATCAATCCCACAAATTAATTTCTCTGCATTTCTCCATCTCTCCACAAGTCCAAATCCAATATCATTGGAACAAGCATTTCGATGAGGATCGGATCGAATGTAATAATTTCGATTCCAATATTCAAATTCATTATAAGGAGACTGAGGAGGAGTTGAAAGTGTTGTAGAAAGTGTTGAAGAAGAAGGAGTTGAAAGTGTTGTAGAAGAATGAGTTGTTGTTGTTGAAAGTGTACTACTACGAGTACTGTCATCACTGTCATCATTTCTGTTCGGATTGAATACTTTTGCAACTTTTAATTCTTGTTGTAAAGTTACAACTTGATGTCGTAATTGTTCATTTTGTGATTTGAGTTGAGATAATAAATGTTCGAGTAAATCTTTGGATTGTTGTTCTGCTGTTGTGTCATGTTTCTTTGATTCATTAGTATTGTCATTAGTATCGTAAATTCGATGTCGGATGGCATTGAACATGAGAATGTAAATGACCATAATGGCCACAAGTATCAATACAAGAATCTTGTTTCGATGATGTGAAAACCATGGCTGATGACGTAATGATTGCATGGGATTCTGATCAGAATGAGTCACTTATTTTTTGTGAATCGTCAGATGACAATTGGCAGTTTCTAATTCGATTTGAAAATTAATTTCTAAAATAATTTTTATTTTTAAAAAAAATGAACTCGGCCGATCCCTTTGATATTGTCAAAGACAAGGTCACTGAAAAGCTCCGTTCCGTTAAAGTGCTCCAAGAGATGTATATGGAGCAAATCAACGGATCGGGTACAATGGATGAAGTCTCAATTACTGGTATTGAGAGAGAGCTGAGAAATAATATTCAATCCATTGATTTGTTTTTAAATGATTTGCAAGGAACTATCAATATTGTTGAAAAGAATCCTCAACGCTTTTCAAATATATCCCGAGAGGAGATTGGAAAACGTAAATTGTTTATTTCCTCTACATCACAGCAAATGAGACAAATAGAACAACAAATGAAGAATAGAAAACAAAAACAAACTCAACTTCAAAAGGAAAGCCTATTTTCCGATCCGAAACAAAAAGGCTCATCATCGGCACAATTAAATGATGAAGATGATGATGGAAATTATCATGACTCTTTTAAGAATACCACCACCACCACTACTAGTAAAGGAAGATATTCAAGGCTTGAAGAGTCCTATATCAAGGATAATCAAAGATTTATTGATGAACAGTTGCAAATTCAAGACACTGTGAGAAAAAATCAAGATGAACAGATGGACAAGATGACTACAACGGTTCAACGAGTTGGCCAAATTGCTATTGAAATTGGAAATGAATTGGATGAACACAAGAGAGAATTAGAAGAAATGGAAAATCATGTGGAGAAGACAAAGGGTTTATTGGAAAGAACGAATAAGAGGTTACAGACATTGTTGAATAATACTTCTGACAAGTGGAAGATTATAATTATTGTTATTTTACTGTTGATCGTCCTTGGTTTGATTGCTGTAGTGATTTTTGTACCATTTAGATGATGATTCACCATGGTGAATATGGCAAAGAGAGATCACTCACTCGTGTATATATAAAAAGATGAATTGAGTTTTTGTTAATAGAACTTTTCGAATCCTACTAATTATTGGTCATGTAAAAAGAGCCAATCTTGATTTCAGGCTCATAGAAACCACTCGGCAGCCGAAACGATCAAGAAATGAATCGAAATATTCCACTTTTATTACACTTCTTCATGATCACCACCATATTGGTGATGAGATTTGTGAGCAGTAACATGAAGACCTTGTTGAGAAGGTAATTGATGATCAGTGGAGGTGGCTGAATGGGTAAAGAATCCTCCTGTATGTTGGTGTTGTGGACTATTACTGGTGTGATGCTGATGTTGCATGGATCGACTGTTGTTAATGCTACTACTACTGTTACTATCAATAACACCACTACCAATAACACCACTACCACTCGATCGATTCGACGACTTGTTGTTAGCAACAATACATCTTCTCAAAATCAAACCACAACAACAAATGAAACAAATGGCAGTCACAACAACACCATCGTAGGCATACTTGGAATATCTTTGCATATCATGATATTGTTGCAATTGATCAATGTATAGAAATGGGTTCTCTTCTCCTTCTGGTAATTCAAATTGAGATGGTTTTGGGAAATACCATCGATAGAAATTATGAAGTAATTCAACAACTTCGATATTTGGTTTTGTTTGATTCATATCATCATTGAGACAAATAAATTTAGGTCTCTTTCTTGTTAATTCATCTAATTGTTCTCCAACCTTATCATAATCATCTCTAATCATGTGAAATCCAACTTCAGATAAATCTTCAAGAGTGTATGGGAAACGTTGTTCACTTTTGTGAACTTTAGTTTTCACAATATCACTCAAACCACTATTCACAAAATCATCAAATGTTGGTCTTGTTCTTGTCTTGTAATTTGGATCATAGTTAGACATGACCAAATTTGTATAATTTAAATGTCCAAACAAGACAGATCGAACTGATTTCAAATAATCCTTAAATGAGCTATAAGAATCATAGGATGACCAAGAACCAAATGAACTAGTTCCACGTTTCCAATTGGAAAAGTAAGAAGAAAAGGTTGAATCGGTGGTGGTGGTGGTGTTGCCATCACCACTATTTCCACCATCACTTGTTGTACTGCCATCACCACTATTTCCACCATCACCACTATTACCACTATTACCACCATCACCACTATTACCACTCTTCTTCTCACTCACAGTTTGATCCAATTCATTCTTTTCATTCACTCGTTTCCAATCATTCATCTTTTTGTAATATTTCTTGACAATTCATTGACCTTGTCTTGTGATATTTTGTACTTGTTAAACATGATATTTGCTAAATTTCTAATTTCATAATCATCCATAATATCATCTTGATTCGTATCCACATGCTCTTTGAAGAATTCTGTTGCATTGTATGGAATTCCTTCATGCATTAAATAATAAAAATATGTAAATGTATATTGCATATCATTTGAGGAACGGAATCGATTGGAAGATGTCACATTAAATTCATATTCCCATTTCTTTTGTAATTCACTCATAATATCCTTATCAATCATATGTGGCATGTGAGCTGGTACTTTTCTTGAAGCTCTTCCATATTCCTTATTTAGTAATTTGTTCACATGAATTAAGGAATCACCAAATTTGTCTAATAATCGACGAGCAGAGGGTGATGAGTGTTGTTGTGAGGAAGTTTCATCATTGTGATCACTATTGTATTGAATTTGATCTTGATGAATTTGTCTTTCAATACTCTTTTTCATATTTTTATACGTTTTTTGAGAAAATTCTTTTTCTAATAATTGATGACGAAGTGAATTTACAATTTCTTCTGGATGAGATTGAACAATAGGAATTCGAATGGATGAATATGTTGGGGATGAATATGTTGGGGATGAAGTTGGAGGTGGTGTTGTTAGTGATGAATATGATGATGTTGATGATGGTTGTTCTTGTTCACCATCGCCATCATTCGTATAGTGAAAATGTTCACTCACAGTATTGTGAATTCTTCTTTTTAAAGTATCATCCTTAGGTATACTCAATAATTTTCTTTGTTTTCTTCTTTTTAGAGCATTTCTTAAGGCCATTAATTCCTCTTCAACAATCGATTCACTTTGTTTTCGATTCTTCTTTTTCATTGGTTGTTCTTGTTCACCATCGCCATCATCATCATTCACTAACTCAGCTGGCATCATTGGATTCTTCTTTTTAGAGACTTTGTTTCGAGTCCATGTGGATCGTGTTGATGAATCATGATGTCTAGATGGTCGTTTGGAATTCCGAGATTTTGAAGAAGGATTTGAGGGGTTTTTCAGAGTCTTTGGAGTCTTTTCTAAAGTCATAGAAGTAGTAGCAGTTGTAGTAGTAGTAGTAGTACGATCATGATCGCCATCATTACCCTCCTCCACATCATCATCACCACCACCACCACTTTGACTCGATTGTCGGTCGATAGTGTTTCTTCTAGTAGGACTTTTATCAGCCGCCACCATTACCACATCAGAAAGATCATCAATTTCAGTGGTGGTGGTGGTGGTGGTGGTGGTGGTGGTAGAAGGTAATGTTGTTGTTGTTGTTGGATCATTCTTGTCCAATTGATTTTTCTGCAACATGTCTTTCTTCTCACTACTACTACCACTACTACTACTACCACTAATACCCATACTACTACCACTACTACTACCACTACTACTACCACTACTACTACCACTACTACTACCACTACTACTACCACTACTACGACTCTTACTCCTCTTGTTCATATTGGTCGTAGTTTGAGTAGGAGTAGTGGCACCACCACTTGTTGTTTGAGAAGGAGTAGTAGTCAATGAAGCAGCAGCAGCAGTGTTGGTTGTTGTTGTTGTTGTTGAAGAGGAAGTTGTTGTTTGAGAAGGAGTAGTAGTAGTAGTAGTAGTAGTCGATGCAGTGGTGGTTGAACTTGTTGTTGTTGTTGAAGGAAAAGTCATACCATTACTACTACTCAATGCACCACTCTGACCATCACTCCATGCACCAGAACCATTACTAACACCACCACCAAAACTACCACCACTAGAATTCTGTACTATGGATCTTTTCATACTACTACTACTAGTTGTGCTTGTGGTTATTAGGGTTGGAATGATGACTTTGGAAGAATAATGAACATCCTGTTGCATTTGAGAATATTCACTTTCAGTTAATGCCATAATATCTTGTTCTTCTCTCTTTTTTTTAAACTTGTTTTGAATATACTCAAAGGATTCATGATTCACTAATTTCACAATAAAGGATTTGGAAATGATTAATTTAGAATCGAGACCTTCTTCTTCTTCTCGATTCACAGTTGTGTAATGAGTCGTTATGGTCGAAGTGTAGTGATTATGATCATCCTTATCACTACTACTACTACTACTACTAGTACTAGCATTGAGAATTCTTTCAGCTTCTAATGTCACTTGAATGATTTCTTCATAATACATGTCTCTATTGGATGAATTCATGGTGTTGTTAAGGGTTTTGGTGTTATGAATAATAGTATTGGTGGTGTTAAGGGGAGTTTTGGTGTTAAGAGTTTTGGTGTTAAGGGGGTTTTAGTGGTGGAATTGTTGTGAAGAGTGTCATTGATAGAGGTATAGTGTGTGATATTTGCTTTCAATAATTGATAATTAAATGTAAAGATTAATAATTTTTCTTTTGTGAAATGGTTGAACTTCTCACCAATTTCTCATTATCATGATTTCCATTTGTAATTTGTGAATTCATGAAAATTGGATTTAAATTCAAATAAATAGAAGAAATGTTCGATCTCACATAAATGACATTCAAATCCTCAGTCACATCTTGATGCAATAAAACTCTTTTCAATTCTTTAAAATCACAATCACCTGCATCGAAACCACATTCCTTAACATTACATGGTCGATCACAAAATCGATCACCAATCCATGAATCAGGACATGAAGCAGAACAATAATTATTGTAATTAGATTTCAATGAAGATCCTGCTGACATCCAAGAAGGAACATTGGAAGTTCCAGTATTCCAGTTATTCCAGGAATTACCATATGAGGAAGATCCATACGACATTCTCACATTATTTCCAATACAATCACCACCATCAAAATCACATTGAGTGACATTACATGACAAATCACAATAACCATCTCCTAACCATGATTCTTGACATCCACTTGCACATGGTGGAACTTCCCAACTGAGAAATACTTTTTGTCCTGTCGAATGACTATAAAAATCTTCAGGATAGACAAAATTTCCAAACATGACATCATCATTTAAATAGATAAACTTTTTAGATAGACCAGGTATTCTATGAATATGAGATTCTATGGATGGAGAACTAAATACAGGTAAATGTGAAACATCTCTATAAATATCTGAATGTTTCACAATTTTGATTTTTGGATTCTTAATATTTAACCAATTGGGTACTTGACCATTGGTGACAATATAAATATTTCGAACCCATGGAGCAAATCTTTCTAAACTTCTTAAACTGAATTTCAATTCATCATTATCTCTAAAACGATTGGAACCACTGACAGTGTTGTCTTGTTGTTGAGTAGTATTATTATTGGAATGATTCGTATTATTATTATTGATATTATTATTGATATTATTATTATTGATATTATTATTATTGATATTATGATTATCGTTATTGATATTATTATTGATATTATTATTATTGATATTATGATTACTATTAGTATGATCATTGGTGGTAGAAGCACGAGATGCAGTGGTGGTAGAAGCACGAGATGCAGTGGTGGTAGAAGCACGAGATGCAGTGGTGGTAGAAGCACGAGTTGTGTGAACGAGTTTCTTCTTCTTCAGAGTAGGATGATGAGAATTGGTCTTCTTCTTTTTTGAAGTCTTGTCAATGACTTGATTTAATTTTCTTCTTCTTCCCTTCCATTGCACTTTATGATTGGTTTGCTCATTGTTTTTACGATTATTTTCTTTCTTATTATTGAGAGGATCATTTGAATCCTTCTTTTTGGTTCTATGAGTGTTAACACTGCTGTCATTACCAGTTGTAGTGCTTGTTGTAGTACCACCAGTTGTAGTAGTAGTACTACTACTACTACTAGTACTCATACGACTCGTTGTAGTCGTCTTGGTAGTAGTTTCGCTGTCATCATTTTCATCTTGTTCTGTTAATTGTTGTTGTTCTTGTTGTTCTGTATATTCTTTCAATAATGCTTTATGAATTAGATCAGAACCATTCACCCAAGTATAAACAATATCCATTGGTTCATAACATAATTTAGAAATTGAATTCACTTTCATAATGTTATCTTTGTACATCCGATGACAATAACTTCCCATTTGTGAAACATCATCTTCAACCAATGTTGTTTTATCCATAATTGAAATATCTAATAAAGATTGTAATAAATGAAGAATGGAATTGAGAGTAATGAAGGTCACAATAATTAATAGAATGACACCCCATTTGGAGGTTACAAAGGAATAAAAAGATCTTTGAATGGGTTTAGTGAATCGATTAGGAATGCAACCACATGTGTACTTTTTATAGGTGTTGTTGTTGCTTGTAGTAATACTAGTAGTCGTGGTGGTGGTGGGTAACATGATGATGATGGTACGAGAAATTGTGAATTGAGAGAAGGAGTATGAAAAATTAATCCAAAATGACGAATATATTGGTGGATGATGCCAATAAATCGATATCGAAATCGGAGTAAAATCCGAAGAACAGCGGCAATGATGAAGAGGGTTTCGCTACAACAACAATAGCTCTCAAAATATGTTGTGGAGATTTTTTTAATCAACTCACAAACAGAGTGTTTCTTCCTTCCGAAGCTACAAGCACAACCTTGGTTAATTTTTTCAAGAACAAACGTTCGATTATTATGTCTGCCCGTCTAGCTCAGTCGGTAGAGCGCAAGACTCTTAATCTTGTGGTCGTGGGTTCGAGCCCCACGGTGGGCGAAAGAGTTTTTGCATTTCGAGAGGTGTAAAAGAATTTTGTATTTGCATTTTAGTTCTGGTTTCTTAAAGCAACAATATTATTTATGTTATATATATATTTTTTAACATATATTACCTTAACTGCTACTTTATATAAAATAATATATATTATATAACCTTAACAATTCTTGAAGTGGCTTTGTCATGATTATTGTGTCTTTGATTTGATGGTAATTACATCACCAAAGTAAGTGGACTCCTCGTTTGCACTTTCGTTTCCGACGAATTCTGCACCTTCTTGATAGAAATTGTCGTGAACAGTATTCGTCTGTATCTACTATTAGCTTGATTTCTAAAGGGTTCATGATTCTTTTAACTAGTGATTTCAGTTGCAATTTCTTGGGAATAATTCCTACGACATTTTGTTCCTGCAATGAGAACATTGAAAGGATTTATTGCCTTTATACTTTCCAAAGAACTTGGAAAGTAACTTATGGCTCGGTTGTTTGGGCATGGTTTTTTTTGAGCTTTTGTTCAAAAGGCTTTGCTGGATTCAGTTCCAATCTCTGCAATTCACTACAACAAGGATCAAATCTGAATCTCAATCAAAATAAAAGGCCAACGTTAAGACCAATCCTAATTTTCAAAACAAACCAAAAGAACATGTGCAAAATTGGTTGTACACACACGATTGTTGAATTTTCCTTCCCAAGAGAATCAGAGAAGAAACAAACATGAAGATTCCAAGCTCAAGTGAGTGGTGGGAAGTGGCCACAAAAGAATGTTTAACCAGTTAATCAGTTATAGTTACATGAGAGCATGGAGCTTGAAACATATTGAGTGTGAAGAGAGACGATCATTTCGAACATTCGAGTTGACCCATCAAAGACGACAAAGGTTCAATAACTCATCTACTATTCATCACGGTACTATTATTACTATTAAATCGCTGAACTGTTCTTGTTTGGAACTTTTAAGCAAATCCTTAAATCTTTTTTCATTCTTATACCATCTTGCATTATAGTGAAACACTTGTATCATATAATTGTAACAATCTGCTACGTATAAAAATCCTGCATGATCATCCAATGACAATCCAAATGGAGTGTTCAATAAATTTGAATGAGTACTACCTGGTACATGCTGAAACTCTTCCAACATTTCCCCAGTCCAATTGAATACCTTGATTTTATGATGATCACTATCACTCACAATAATATGTTTAGTGTTTGGATCGACAACAACACCTCTTGGATAGTTAAAACATCCCACTGCAATACTTCTCAAAATACTTCCATCTATGGATGAAACAATATGCACGCCATTGGTTGATTTTTCACAAACGAACAAATTTCCTTCGTAAAATGCTAGATCCGTAGGAGCATTGAATGCAAAGGATTTCAATAAATGTCCATCTCTACTCGATAATACTCTAATTTTACTTGCATCTCGATCACTCACAAAAAGTCTTCGAGATGAATGATCCACACATAAACCTCTGAGAGCATTAAATTCGGATGATGTGCATTTCCACATTCGAGACCTGTGATTGGATAGTCTTGTTGCTGTTCGAACATTTGGTTCATACAAGGTTGGACACATGATGAACTTTTCGATCGTGTAATACGAGTACATGTCTGTGGTAACAATCACACTTGGATAAGTGCATGCCATTTGAATGGTTTCTTGATCCCATGTCATTGATGATGGCATGTGTCGATTCTCATCTTCATTCGTAGTAGTGGTGGTGGTGCTTGAAGTAGTACTAGTTGTGCCAGTAGTGCTTGAAGTAGTAGATAGACCTTTCATCATGATGAGATCATTTTCATGACGAAAAGGCTCTTCAATTGTCAAATAATAACAACACCCACTGCGATCACCCACTTGGATGGAATATAAGAATTTTCGAGTATCCAAATCGAAAACATAGACTCTTCCCGATGAATAGGTACTTGCAAGTAATAACTTTCTTTTGGATCAACTTTTACGTCCGTGACAGAAATTAGACACTGAGGTAGAATCATGGGTAGAAAAGGAAAAGCATGAGAAAGAATTTGATGATCAAAATCTTTTTGTTGTTGTCGTCGATCGAATGCATCATGATTTGTGGTGGTTTCATCAAATTGTTGGGTCTGTTGTTGTTCTTGTTGTTGATCAGTCGTAGTAGTAGTAAAAGTATTGTTGGTTGATGTGGTGGTGGTGGTGGTGGTTGCTGATGACCTAGTAGTCCTCCGATTATTCTGTTGTGTTTGATGCATCACCATTTTTTCATTTTGATCTTAGTGTTCATCTTTTGATGATGCCCTTTTCGAAACTCAAAAGCTTGAACACCATAATATATATGGAGTTAACGATCAAGTATGTTCAAGCTTTATAGAACTTGGGTTTCTTGTTCTTCATCGTCAGAACTTACCACCACCACATCAGGCGGTGCTTTGTGAAGAGTTGTTTGTGGTGGTGATGGTAGTGGTGAGGGTTGTGTTCTGGGGATGGTTGGGTGTGAACGTTTCTTCATATTGTCATAAGAACTCAGAATTGGTAAGAACAGAATGACAGAATTCATTTCATTCTGATGGACTTGATCAGTAGCAATAATTTTAACTCCACTCACAAACGAACAATTCTTACAAAACAAGAGACTATACACGACTCCATCACTTTCAGAAAAGTGTGTGATCATCTTGTTGTCTGTTTGAGATTTTGCTGTGTGATCCTTCATTGGTATGGAATAGAGTTGTTGATGAAATTGGAACTTGAAGAAATTTTGTTCATCAAGGTTGAGGAGACGATCACTGGGAAAGTGTTGTTGATCGAGTCGAGAGGATGATTTGGTCATTAATCTCAGACTATTCTGCTGTTGTTCATCAGTAAATGTTTGAGTGCATGTGCATGAATGAGTGAATTTGGAATCAATTCTCAATACTAGATGGTGATTCAATATGGATTATATTATTATGGTATGTCATAGGTATCATTATGAATTGCAATTATTCATAATACATGACCATCATTATGAATTATACATACCTTCATGTTGATGAAATACATTCTCAAAGGATGAGAGAATACTTTTAGAAGAGTTAAATTTGGTTGTAATGCAATCCTTTGACCTTGATTGGAAAAGAGTAGTGTACTCTGACATGAAGTACAACAAATCTCAAGATGACTTGTTGTTGAATTGATCCTAGAATGATGACTTGTTGTTGCATCATCTTGAATATATGTATTCATCAATGATGATTTGAGAGTGGTAGTAGTTGTGGCTGTTGTGAATGGAATTTGTAACATGGTTTCATCATCATCATCACTATCAGTCAGTCTCTGTTTTTAATGTCATCATCATGACAACTATCATCACTGAGCATTTCTAAGGATTCACTTGAAGAATTAAAATTTTCAGAACCCTTCTTCTTATTGATCGTTTGAGAAGAAGCACAAGACAAGTCATGTTGTTGATGTTGAACAATACCATCTTCTTCTTTGTGGTGCAGCAACAGTCGTTGATCACTACTGCCATGGCGATCATTCAACAATGGTGGTGCTGCTGCTTTACCCAATGATGACTTGTACTACTACCACCACCAGACACAACAAGAACACTACTATCCTTACCACCACTGGTAGCACTAGTTGTTGAAATCTTACTTGTTGTACCATCACCACTACCACCACTACCACTCTGACCACCACTCGTACCCAAACCACCACTCTGACCATCACTCTGACCACCACCTACTTTCATGAT